TTACAATGAAAGGTCTTAGACTTCTTCACTACTTTTTTGGCATTGAAGTATCTTATTTTTTAGGTGGAATTTTTCTCTCACAAAATAAATATGCCCGAGATCTTCTTGATCATGCTCAGATGCTTGGTGCAAACCTATTTCAATACCAATGACAATAAATAATAATATTCATGACAATTCTGATCTATTTTTTGATCCATCTCTTTATTGGAGCATTGTTGGTGCGCTCCAATATATTACTATAACACAACTTGTCATTTCCTATAGTGTAAATACAATGTGTTAATTTATGCATGCCCTTACAATTGGACATTTTTAAGCAATTAAGTGCATTATTCATTATCTTAATGATACACAGTCTTGTGGTATAAGAATTTTATCTGGTAGTTCCCTTGAATTATATGCTTTCTTTGATGCAGATTTGGGTGTCTAAACACTCGCCGTTCAACCACGGGTTTCAGTACCTATCTTAGTTCCAATTGCATATCTTGGAGTGCTAAGAAACAATCGATTGTGGCTCGTTCAAGTGTTGAAGCAAAAAACTGGTCTATAGCCTCCACTATTGTAGAATTGACATGGTTTTTTTTTACTTTCCGTGATATTGGGGTGCCACTTCCTCAGCCACCAATACTTGTTTGTGATAATATTAGTGCTCTCTACATGATAGTTAATCATATTTTTCATGCTTAGATAAATCACATTGAGTTAAACTATCATTTTGTGCATGAAAAGGTTGCCCTTGGTCTACTTATCACTCGATTTATTTCTTCTCACAATCAAGTAGCTAATATCTTCACCAAGTCTTTGCCACAAAATATTTTTTTGAGATCTTTTCTACAAACTCGGGCTTCAAATGCCTACTGAGCCGAGTTTGAGGGGAAGTGATAGAAATAAAATTCAAACAAGAAAGGAAAGTGTATTGGTCTTTCCTTTTTAGAGGAGAATGAAACAAGATAGGAAAGTATATATTGCTTGTAACATGATATGAAAGTGTGTATTATACCATTATATCACCATTATATATATAATAACAAGAACCACCACAATCAGTGTGGGCCACAATTATCTTTTCTAAAAGTTCATTTCTCTCTCTAAAAATCTTCAGATTCCACACTCAACTCACGTAACATTTTAGCAAGGTTTAAATATTTGGACTTGTAGTACAACCACCCACGCACTGTTGAGTCCAATAGGCAGAGTTGTCGAGTTTTGTCAAATCCTCTTTTTCTTTTTCCTTTTTTTTTAACATAAAATCGATAAGAAGTTCATTGCTACAGTAATTGACAGACATGATATCTGTTCATGTCTGGGAACCCCAAAATTGACGCAGTTATGTCAAAGTTCATTTCTACAGTCTCTTCCTCAGAGTTGTTGCTGCTATCTCAGTTGTTGTTGCGATGCCCTTTTCCTCAACCACCTCAATAGTTGCAAACTCAGTTGCAACCATAAGCTCATTGTAGAGAGAGAGAGAATTGATGTCATCTCCTTCTTTCTCTAACATTGCCATTACACATTGTTTTAGTCTCGTGTTGACGAAAAATTGTTCACTGTAAACATATTCACCACCAACTCATGGTTCTTTGATTTGAATCAGCTTATAAAACTTCATCAACCATGACCACATATGAGAACAACTCCACCAATTCAAATATCTCATCGGATAACGCCAGCAAAGATATGGTATTCCCTGTTGTTGACTCTAATAGTCCTTTCTACTTGCACCATTCAGATAGTCCCAGAAACATTTTAGTTTCCCAAGTCTTAACCGAAGAAAACTATCCAACATGGAGCAGAGCTATCCTCATAGCCTTGAGTGCCAAAAACAAGCTCTGTTTCGTGGATGGAACTATGCTCACTCCTCTCTCTTCCTCTCCCATTTACTCACTCTGGAAGAGATGTAATGATATGGTCATGTCATGGCTCCAAAATGTGGTTTCCAAAGAAATTTATGAGAGTGTGATGTATGAGACCACTGCCTTAAGAATCTAGGATGATCTGAAAGACCGATTTGCTCAAAGCAACGCTCTTTGGATCTTCTAGCTTCGTAAAGACATTGTTCTTCATTCACAAGAGTCCACCATTATTTCTTCATACTACACCAAACTTAAATCACTTTGGGATGAACTTGCCTCACATCTTATCATACCTCATTGTTCTTGTGGATTGTCTAAAGCTTTGCACAATTATCAACAACAAGAAAGGTTGACCTAATTTTTTATGGGTCTTCATGAGTCAAACAACCACATTAGAGAGACTATCCTTCTTATGGATCATCTTCCTAATGTGAGCCGAGCCTATTTCATGCTCTTTCAAGAGGGGAAGCAACGACAAGTCACTACTACACCATCTAATGGAGGTGACTTTGCTGCGTTCACAACTGCAACTACTGCAGCAGCAAATGGGCGCAAAACTAGTCACTTTAATACCATTTTGAACAGGCAAAAAGGGCCCCGTTTACCCCGACCCAAATGTGATCATTGCGGCTGGTTGGGACGCACTAAACAAAAGTGCTACTTACTTCATGGTTATCCACCGGGACACCGGCTCTACCAACCTAGTAAAACACCTTCCAAAGATGTTGCAGCTGCAAAACCATCTTCTACTTCTACCTAGGTGGCTGCCATTGCTCAAACTTTCACCCCATATCAATATCCGATTGACGTCCATGCTCAATGAAGGTAATGCAGAACCTTCTGTTTATTTTGCAAGTAACTCTTTCTCAACTCCCATTCCCATTTCTCACAACACCTGGATAGTTGACACAGGAACTTCAGATCACATGATATTAGATGCCTCACTTTTTCACACATACAAACCAACTTCTAGTGTTGCACCTGTCAAACTTCCAAATGGTTCACATGCTGCAGTTACTCATATTGGATCTATTTGTTTAACTCCTTCTTTTCAACTTCATCAAGTTCTTTGTGTCCCTAATTTTGGTTTTAATTTATTATCCACCAGTAGAATCACTGCCTCTCATGCATGCTCAGTGATATTCTCCCATGATTCTTGTATTTTTCAGGACCAGTCTTAGAAGATGACGAATGGAGTAGGTAAGCAACATGGTGACCTCTATTACTTCCAAGCCTATAATAATTCCTCCATGACCCTCTCTTTTAGCTTACTAGTTTTTGATCTCTGGCGCTGGAGCCTCGGTCATATTTCTTCTACTCGTTTAAAGTTATTAGCTAAAAATATTGATGGTATTTCTGGTCTTAATTCTTGTCACTATGGCATATGTCCTTTAGCTAAGCAAACTCGTTTGCCTTTCACTTCTAGTTATATCTCCTCACATGCACCTTTTGATATTATACATTGCGATATTTGGAGTGGCTACTCCACCACTTCTCATTGTGGAGTTCGTTATTTTTTTACAATTATTGATGATTTTTAATGATGTACCTGGATGTTTCTTATGCGCACAAAATCTGAAACACGACCTTTACTAAAATATTTTTTTTTCACTTGTAAATACCCAATTCAATTGCAAAATTAAGATTTTTTCTCAACCAACATACGCCAATTTTTTCAAGAAAACGGAGTACTTCAGCAACATAGCTGTGTTGCGACTCCGCAACAAAATGGTGTTTTTGAACGCAAACATTGTCGTATCCTTGAAATGGCATAAGCCTTGCGTTTCCAAGGACATCTACCCCTTAGTTATTGGGATGACTGCATCCTTATTGCTACATATTTAATAAACCAAATTCCAACATCCATATTATCAAACAAATGTCTTTATTAAGTCATTTTTAATAAACCTTCGACCCATACTCATTTGCGGGTTGTTGGTTGTCTTTTCTACACATCCTCTCTAGCTTTTAATCGAGACGAATTGATGCCCATGCTCGCAAATACGTGTTCGTTGGCTTACCTCATTGTAAAAAAAGATATTGTGCTTTTGACTTGTAAACTCAGAAATTTCCATTAGCATGGATGTTGTTTTTCATGAGAACATTTTTCCCTTTTTTTCTACACCACATCTGCACACACAACCAGCAGCCGTTCTACTGATACCCATTCTTAACCTTCCACAAACATCAAATTACCCCTCTCTTTCAATTAACCCACAAACTACTACTTCATCTCCACTACCCCATCCATCTAGAAATTTGGCTTCCCCATAAACTATACATGAACCACCCCCAATTACTTCTCATGATTCCTTGGATCACATTGATAAGGTTTCCACTACAGCCCAGGTCGATCAAGAACAATCAATTCAAACCACCCCTTCTCTATCTCCTCCCACACATGTTCGCAAATCACAATAATCTCATCGTCCACCATCTTATCTTAAATATTTTCATTGTTCTCAAGCCATGTTGCCAATTCCTCTAATGTCCACTTCTGCAACTGGACCCGTCAAAGGTACTAAATATCCACTCTATCAATTTATCTCTTATGAGCATTTATCTCCATCACACTAGAGTTTTTTTTTCGCTGTCTCTTCCATTCCGGAACCCACTTATTTTTTCCAGGATGTGCAAGACCCGAAATGGCAGGAAGCAATGCAAAATGGATTCCGAGCTTGAGTAGAATAAAACTTGGACAATCAACACCTTACCTCTTGACAAAAAGCCCATTGGTTGCAAATGGGTCTACAATGTTAAATATCGGTCAGATGACACTGTCCAATGATATAAAGCATGTCTCGTCGCTAAGGGTTGCAAGCAACGAGAGGGGTTAGATTACCATGAGACTTTCATCCCCGTTGCAAAGATAGTTATTGTATGTTGCTAGCTTGCTATTACTTATGTCTGAAATTAGCCCCTACATCAGCTTGATGTTCAAAATGCATTTCTACATGGGGACTTGCACGATATGAATCTTCCCCCAGGATTCTGTCGACAAGGGGAGAAACGGGTGTGCCATTTACACAAGCCTCTTTGGCCTAAAACAAGCTTCTCGGCAATGGTTTGCAAAATTTTCATCTGCTCTCCTCGATGTTGGATTTGTTCAATCTAAAGCCGACTACTCCCTATTCACACGTCGCAATTATGTGGACGATATCATTGTCATTGGCAATACCTGCTACCATCACCTCTCTCAAGCAAGTTCTTCATTTTCGTTTCCACTTGAAAGATATTGAGCTTCTTAAATATTTTCTTGGCATTGAGGTTGCTCGCTCTAAAAAGGGCATTTACATCACCCAACGTAAATACACCTTGGAGATTATTGAAGAATTTGGGCTTCTTGGGGCACGTCCTATTCATCTACTCACGGAACAACTCCATAAACTCAATGTTACTACTGTTGATCTTCTATCTAACCCTACTATGCATCGAAGATTTATTGGCCAACTCATACACTTAACCATCACCACGCCCGACATTGTCTATTATGTCCACATCCTTAATCAGTATATGAGCCAACCTGGCAAACCACATCTTGCAGCGGCCTTGTTCCTAGTTCAATATTTGAAGTTATCTCGACCTTCTGATAGTGCCTTTCAATTACGAGTTTTTTGTGACTCTGACTTGGCAAGCTGTCTTGATACACATCGCTCTACCACTGAATATTTTTCCATATTAGGAAACTCTCTGTTATCCTGGAAGACGGAGAAACAACACATGATCCCTTGCTCTTATGTTAAGGCAGAATACCGTGTCATGGCATCTACAAGTTGTGAAATTACATGGCTCCGCATTCTTCTTTGTGACTTGGGTGTTTATCATTCAAAACCAGCCTTCGTGTTTTGTGACAACTAAGCTGCTCTTTACATTGCTGTGAGTGTTCCATGAGCACACGAAGCACATTGAAATAGATTGCCATTTTGTTCGAGACCTGATTCAATATGGGATTCTACAAACTTCCTATGTTCCAACCACCCATCAAGTCACTGACATTTTTACCGAAGCCTTGGGCAAAGAACAATTTTTATCTCTAATCGGCAAGTTAGGCATTCTTGATATTCACTCTCCAACTTGAGGGGACGTGTTAGCTGGCTTTACAGCTCATAATCATTTTTATGGAAATTTCTTTTTTTTGTAAGATATGTACAAATCATATCTTAATAACTTTTGGTAATATTTGTTGTAACATCCCCCATAATCAAAGGATTGTGATTATGTATTTTGTGATATATCCACCCTTTTGGGATAATAAAAATACACAGTTTTCCCAAATTAAAAGATCCGTCAAAATGAACAGTTTAGATTGTGAATAATTTTTCAGGTGTTTGATCCTACAAATGGTTTCCATTTAGATCCTTCCTAAGACTACCAAAGAAGCACTTTTTGACGTTGGGTTCAACTAACTCCTTTGGCAACATAAGCATCATAGCCAAAGCTTTTAAATCGTTATACTTACTAGTAGTTCCATGTCATAAATCATTTGGAGCTTTATCCCCCAATGCCACCAAAGATGATCAACTGATAGAATAATAAGATATTACTACGGATTTGGCCATGACTCATGTTCTAGACCATCAATCTTCAGCATGCACCTAATGTGCTTCACTAAAATACAACTTGTTCTCGCGGCGATACCATTTTATCGATGATCATAGGCATTTGTATAATGCCCAATAATTTCCTCAGATTTAGAAAAGTTTTCAACTTCCTGTCATATAAACTCTCCTCCATTATCTGTCTAGACGATTTCGATGTAATGCACCATAGATTTTCCTAATTCATATTTAAAATGTTTAAATGCATAGAATAACGTCAATTTGGGCTTTAAAGGTTTGATCCATACTTTTCCTACAAAGTCAGCAATAAATGAGATAAAGTATGATGCACCTTCATGAGATGTAGCTGATTAAGGACCTTGTACATGTAAAAATGGGCTCATGGTTATGCGGTCAGGGTGGTAGGGCACTATAATGCGATGCCTTGAGCTCCATTTGTACCACGGGTATTGGACCTCTTCTCTGTTGAACTATCCAAAAAATAATTTCAAGTAAATGTAGTCAACTATGTGTTTACTTGCCAAAACCCTAATACTTTTCAGTTGCCAAATGATGTTACAAACAATCCATTCACCCCAACATTTATGAGTTGACATGTGATGTTGTTGGACTCATTGTATTTTGATACTATTGCACCCTCTTTTATCCTCAAGGAGTACACTCTCTCATATTCAAGGAATACAATTTTCTTATAGAGAAAAATGATTTATGAGATACTTTGTTTGATACCAACGTCCTAGCTTTGTCTATAATTTTTAAGTTGGTTTTTTCCAACAATATTGAACAATACTTCATTTTGTAAACACAAGCAAATAGTGGCACACACTTTTATATTGAGTTTGACCTAATCATCATCAATCATAGTTACTGATTTTTTTTTATTTCTTGAGTAATTCCTTGTGTTCCCCTTATACGAGTAAATCTTGCATTTTAAAATTTCAAATTTTTCAATATTCTTTCCCATTAACCTTCACCTCAAATTTATGGCTTGCCATTTCCTGGAAACCACAACACAACTTGAGCTTTGATGCTACTCCCTGGAACACCAAGAAAACTCTAATTGGTACTTGATGCGATGGGCTCACCATCACAGCAAGTCAAATGCATCTTAAATATTATTTATTGATCATGGGCCGGATGATACCAAGGAATCAAGATGCCCAATAACAATACTATGTGAATTAAATTTGGGAAAATATAAGAAGAAAAATAAAAAAAAATGGAAATGCAACAACAATAAAACAAGTACAAATGAAAGAGACACTAAATTTAAGTGGTTCCCCCAAAATGAGCATTCCATATCGAGCGATAAATATTCCAAGCTTTTTAGGTTTTATAGATATTACGTCACAGCCGCAAAGAAAATTTAATTTTTCCCCTGCTGTAACAATGCCTCAAGCCACACATTTCGTTGAAATTGTTGCCCAATTTCACCACTCCATTGAAATGGAGATGAATTTTCTTTGTCAAAAAACAGAAGAAATGGAGATAAATTTTGGCCAAATACTAGGGTATAACAATGGGAAGGGTTGTTTACAGTGCATCTACAGATTTTTCACAAAGTCCACCAGATTTAATGCTATAAAATAAATTAAATAAAAGAACGGTTAAGATGTGTGGGACTGATCAAATTACAACTTGGGGAAAGAGAGAACTTACTAACCCTGGCTGGTTGGCCAAGACACCCAAAACCCGAAGTTGCAGGACTGTGAGTTGTTTACACTTTTGCCTTGTCTTTCTTTGAAAACTTAACTGAAATTGATTGACTATAGGGTTTAGTTTCGGAGATCTAAGGTTAGGGTTTTAAGGCACCAATGTTTCCAAGGTTTAATGGCTAAGAAGGCTTAGGATTAGGCTTAGGTTTTAGGTTTTCGAAACTAGGGTTTCTCTCATATTTAAAGTTGAAAAATTAGGTTTTAGTTCATTAAGGCTAAACTCGCTAAAAATTCTAAGCATCTCTTTGATAGACAATCGACCTCCGCTAAACTAGGGCTTCCTGGGGTAGTTGACAGACCTCCTGAAGGCAGGTCAAAGCCCGACTCAAATTTCGGGATTTTATTATTTTTTATTTTTGGTAGATTTTCAATTGTCTCTATCCAAAACCGCTATCTTGTTGGATTCCTAGACAATTACCTAGGTTTTAAGATTTAATGGTGTATTTCCAGGGTTTCTAGAAGGTTGAGACCATAGTTTAGGGGTGAGTGGACTACAGAAATGATTGTGGGTCCTAGGGGTGGTTTATTAGGCATTTCTAAGGATTTTTTAATGGATTTGGGAAAATTTGGGACTCAGAAAACTCGGTCAAGGGTTTCCATTGAATAAGCAAACAAGGGTTTCCATTGAATGAGCAAAATCGTAATTCTCCTTTTGCACCAAAGTTCTTCCTCATTCATCATGTTTTTTCTCACTACAAAATGACTTGTAATTGCCCACTTAACGCACTTTATATGGACCAGTATACCGTTACATAGAGGGACATACCGTTAGGAGTGATTTTTTTTCACCCACCCAACAATCTCCCCTGTTTAGCTTCCATAAATAGGTCTTGATACCCTTCAGGGGAATTAAGTTACATATAATTTAAATTTAGCAACAGTCTCGACATGCTCTAGTCCATATAACCAGATCTTAAGACACTTGAAATCCTTGTGTCAACACTATGAACATAGAGCATATAAGGCACCTGTATTTTACACCATACACGGCATTTATTCTAATGCTGTTAAATATCAATGTCCCGGCTTGTAAGCTTTTCGTTACATAGATTAAAAAATAAAAAAATAAAAAAATAAAAAAATGTTGCCCTATCTTTTCCTGCAAAGAAAGGAATATGCTCAATGGATTGTCAATTATCAAACTCTTAGTTAGGATCCATTTTAATATTCTTATGTCTTTCTATCAAAATCCAATTTCTCTTGACAGTCTTAGAGTGAGTTTAGATGGTGATCATAGGGCTATTTTTCTTGATATAATTATAGGGAAAGTATAGAATGAGATCATTTATTTTTTATACAAGGTGATCACCATTGGATGTGATACTGGGTGGCCGCAATTATTCCATTGACCAAGCTCAAACTTCAAAAGAAATTTTCTCAAACTCTGCGACACATCTAAGCTATCAAATTTCACATCAAATGGTTGTAAGGAATTGTGACCACTTTGTATCAAAGGTAAATGATCTCATTGTATGCAATCCCTTAATCATATAAGATAAAAAAAAAAGCGAATATTTTGTGTGTTAGCTATTATCAATTAGTCCCTATTTAACAACATTTTCTACACAAGTGGGGCTTAGAAAAGGGAAAAGATGGAACAAATCACTATCGTACTGCAAGGTGAAGAAGTAGGAGAATCTTTTTTTTAGTATGTCATTACAAACTTGCCCTTGAGCCATTCATTTGATCAATACAAACTTGCCCTTGAGCCATTCATTTGATCAAGTCCTTATATTTTTGGGAATCTCAAGGCCAATTGTGTTATTGACAATCCTAAAGAGATCCATACTTCAAGTCAAATAAATGCGGTCATATCATGTATATTTTGGAATTTGGTGTTATATACTTATCCTGCATCCTCTTAAGGGATAGGGTCCATTTAAATCTTGCAACATGTGTAAACCTCTTAACTATGATTAATAATAAGATACTTAATTTTTTTGTGGGACATTTTGTCTAAAAGATTGGTCAAATTTTTCAAATTCTCAATCAAGAGAAAAAGGGAGAGCGTGCCGTACTATTTTGTTATTTGGTACGAGATGAACCATTCTCTCACAAAGTTCACCATTTTTCTGCTAAAACAACAAAGGGAGTCATCTCCCATATTTTCTTTTGAGTGTAGACAGTTGAGATCACATGTATATAATGCACATGTAACATTTGGAAGCTACATCTGTACATTGGGAGGTCCTAGGATGCAAACGACATGTGTGTATTGTAATATAACAAGGGTGCGTGCCCCTGCATCTACCATTGGTATTAAGGATGCATGGGGAATATGATTCATTATTCTGCTCATAAATCATGGGGTAGATCATCTCGGATGCCCAAGCTCGAACGTGCAATATAGTTCGGAATATGCACTTATAAACCAACCAAAAGATTATATTATCATGTGGGAGCATATCATATATTTACTCCCTCGAGTAAAACAGAGTATCTATAGATCTTAAATTTTTGAGTTGTAAGCTCTTCAACCTAGTATTCAATCTTTGAATATTTTAAAATATTCATCTGGTGATTCTAAAATACATATCCAAAGTTCTGATTGGTAAAAAGTCTTCAAAAGTAGGATTTATTGAGA